ATGGTTCAATGGGTTGAAAGAGTTCCTATGGGCCAATAGAACTCATTGAAACTAATACCATGTCTAGAATTTGCAAAACAGAAACTTTGGGACGGGCGGGCTTCGGGCGGAACTACGGGACGGGCTCCCGTTGCGACCTCTGGTATGTGCGCGTGTATAACCCACCAACACATGCGCACATCCTCTTTGCTCTATATTCGCGTGAATTTCTCGGCATTTCAGTAAGATATCAGACAGATTTATAGTTAGATATGAAATTTTTTTCAATTATTCACGAACCGAAATTTCTGTTTGTTCGTGTTCGGTTCGAACAAGCAAAATATTGTTCGTGTTCGTTTTATGTTCGATTCGAATTGTTTGAATCAAAAGAAAATCGTTCGTGTTCGTTCGAGTTCGGCCCAAGCTCGAACGAACTCGAACGAACTCGAACAGTTCGTGTTCGTGAGCAGCTCTGCTATTTATTAGGCGGCCGATTTGGTCGCCGATTCAAGAGGACCATTCGAAATTTTGGCTATAACTTTTGAACCACTGAACGAATGCATAATTGAATGAAAAGCATTTAATACAACAAAATTGTGTCAAAAAAGGCAACTTGATATGATTTGAAAGGTTTGGAAAAACTCCAAATGAATAAGAAAAAGATAGTATTTTTTTTTTGAATGCCCACCGTGATGAAAATATGCATTTTTATTCAAACTCTGAATTAAATATCTCGTCAGTTGTCGTAAATGACAAAAACGACTTGATGTTGATGTTGCAAGGTGTATTTGTCTGTTCATTGAGATATTTTTCGTTCGATGTATTGTTGATTTTCTCATACGCAGTCAAGAGTACAGATTTGTAGGCAATAACATATTATTAACTATACTTAATAACATAATAATAACGGCCGATATATTGGTCCAACATAACATAATAATAACGTTATTAAGATTCGGCATAATAATAACATAATATGTTACGAAATATGTTGGATTTTTCTTAATAAATCCTATGATTCGGCGCTAATAATATATTATTAACTATAATAATAACATAATATTATTAAGATGGATTTATTAACTCAATTAATAACATATTATTAAGATACAATCTTAATAACGCTTTTTTCGCGCATTTTTTTCGCCGGAGTACTGACAGGTTGTTTTTTCTCTGCGGATTACACACATGAATTTTTGCACTGTTGCAATGAAATTAAAATGACTCTTTGAAACAGAATTATCATGTATTGAACTTAACCATTAAGTTTAGAAAATCGCCAGTCCCGACCTTGAAAGGATCAATTTACCATATTTTGTCTGCATTGTTATAGGTGTGTACACCGTACAGTGCTTTTTTTCTCTCCAGCTAGGGAAAAGAATGCGCGAAAAAAGCGTTATTAAGATTGCATTAAAGTTAATAAAATGTTATTACCGCCGAATCTTAGGATTTATTAAGATTACACCCGATATAACGCATAAAATATTATGTTATTATTATGCTGAATCTTAATAACGTTATTAAGATTGAAATAATCCCAACATAACATAATAATAAATATGTCGGACAATAACATATTAATAACATATCGAAAATGTAAATCTGTAGTCAAGAGCTGCTCATTGAGACAGTGTCTCCGCGAGACCAATTTGCGCCCCAATGCAAACGATAATTTTGCGCCTTTCCCGAAAATTTTCAATATAAATTAAAAAATGAACATACAGACAATAATTGTCAACTTAACCCTTTGATGCACAATTTTTTGTTTTTGAATCATTTTGATATATGTTTTGTGCCACGATAAATAGAGAAAGACCTCATACTTAGATTTTTGGAAAATTGCGTATTTGTCGAGAAAATCGGAAAAGAGTCAAAAGTGTCAAATCACTATAACAGCTTGAAAAAATTAAATTTTATAAAACTAATGATGCAGAAAGTTAAATTGATGTGTTTTGGTCCTACGAGTCCTAACTTGACAATTGAAAAGAATGAACAAACCCACAAGATAAGAGGAGGAAAAATGTGGAATTCTGCTATAATTTCGCATTTTTTTTACAGCAGTAAATGAACAGAAAAAACTTTCCATTCAGCCAGCCGATTTTAGCCTGTAAAGTATCAAATGAAAGCTAGTTCATTTCCCTACATTTGCGTCCAAACAAGAATGTAAAAATATTCAGTGGTTTCATAGCTATAGCGTCTGGCGTATCTGATTACTTTAGGAACCGAAATGTGATAAAGGGTTAATATACCTTCTGACAATAAAGTACCCGGAATTCATCATTTTAGCCGCTTCAGGTATAGGTATCGTGTAAAGTATTTTTTTCCTGAGTTGGTACAACCTTAACAAACATCTCAGCCAAATTTGAGCTCAATATGTCAAGTAGTGTAGTTGTGGCAAAGGTATAAGTGATACCTCCAAAGGTACCCGCGGCGATTTTTTGAAAAGTATCATAAAAAAATCAAATTTTGAACCATGTTCGGACAAAAATACAACATTATATTGCATTGGTGTCGCCAGGAAAGTTGTTGGGCATTCTGTTTCCTTTAATTTGATATAAACTAAACATGGAAATATTACACCCATTGTCAAGTAAAGTCATAAAAACAGAAGAAAGTCAGAAAAATTGAATTTTTTGAGTTTCTCTGCTCGTACTTCTTCATAAATCTGTTTTGACTGTCCCTAATGTTGCTAAATATTAAAATTGGACTATCCACTCAATGTTTCATTTGATGTGTACAACAAAAAAAGACACACACGCAGTGTTGAAGGTGAAAAATCAGAAGATTCGAAAAACCCAATTATTGATTTTTCGGTTGAGTACTGAAAAAATGAATTTTTTGCCAAAATTTTCTTGTAAAACCATTAGATGTCTGCTGTATTTTTTCAATCTAGTACAATTTTGACTTTTTATGGCATTTCCACCATTTTCGTTCTTTGCAAAATGCCTTTTTAGTTTATATTATTACCCAAATAGGAAATCGCCGCGGGTACCTTTAAAGGTATCACTTATACCTTTGCCACAACTACACTACTTGACATATTGAGCTCAAATTTGGCTGAGATGTTTGTTAAGGTTGTACCAACTCAGGAAAAAAATACTTTACACGATTCCTATACCTGAAGCGGCTAAAATGATGAATTCCGGGTACTTTATTGTCAGAAGGTAAAATCAAGTATTTTTATATCTTCCATTTTGAAAACCCCGTTCACCGCTTGCAAACGGAAACGGGTAAAGTCAAGAAAATACGCAATAGCTGCGTTTGGAATCAACTTTTCCATGCCCATTGTCCATGCGTTTCGATTCGTCGAGAATGTCTATAATAATTATAGACTATGATATTATAACATAGTCGATGTTTCGTTCTTTTGTTAATGTGGTCACGATTTGCATTCCATTCAGAGGTGCTCGATGTGGGGGGAGGGGTTTACGGTTTTACCCTCTTCCTGGAAGAAATTTTTAAGATTTACCCCCGGTAAATATTTTGAACATACTTTTTTTATACAATATGGTATACAATATGGGAAAATGATAGGAATGTTTCGAACAAACGTCGCGAATTTTTTGTATGCAAATAAATTGTTTTTTTTTTTGAATGATTGATTTTATTAAAGCAACGCACAGACCGAGAACGTTCATGTTAATCTATTAGAAGAAGAAAACGCCGAGCAAAAAAAGGTATCTGCTGCAAAGCACCATTTTTTAAACATGTTTTTCTGAACTTGTATTCGTGCTGCTCAATAGAAAATAAGACAAATTGAGTACAAATATCTATTATATTCGAGTTTTCATTTCACATTTAAACATAAAACAATAGAATATTTATTGAAAAAAGTAAAAAAAAACGCATTGGATAACAACCAAAACAGTTTATAATCAATAATTAAGTAGTGTGAGCCTCGGAATTTATGAAGTTTACTGAATTTAATACCATAAAAAGTTTTAAAAAAAACACTATTTATTCCATCTCGCTGATTCCGAACCATTTGCGCAGGGCTGTATAACTTGTTGTGCGCTCGGTAGCAATGCATTAACCTCACATCTATTCAGTTTGCTTTATTGGAACGGCAATGTGGCAGCGACAAAGCAAAAAGTCAAGTCAAGTCATTCGTGTATACCATTCTGAACAGCACTGTACCTAACCACAAAAGCGAAATGGCATCGAACGAAATGGAAATCACACCTGAACGTAAAAACGCCTTACTTCAAAGTGATGATGACAATACCACAGCAAAAATCGATTTGACAACCGTTGAAACAGCTGAAAAACCGAAGAAAAACTGCAATGGACGCAAGTCCAGATCGCTCTCGCCCAAAGCAAGCTCAAAGACGAAGAAAGGTGGTCCAACTGTCAACGCATCGGATGAAGCAAACCACAATCAAATATTATCGCTGTTGACTGCTATCAAAGAGCAAAATGAAGGCACTAATTCGGAAATCCAATCACTGAAAATTGAAATCAGAGATTACTATGAGATATTTTTATTCATATGGGATACAAATATCGCATAAAAATATCAGATATTTTTCATGCGTTGCGTTGTTGTAACGCTTCTGCAGTACAAAATTCATATTCCTTTTTGGTATCCAAGTCAAATTTGCATGCAGTAATTGGGAATGCCATCTGTGCCGGTATTCTGGAACACAATCCGCAAAAATCATGCGGAATTATTTCGAACGTTCAATTGGATTTTTGAAGGTAGAGAGTAAACGTTCAATCAGCGATCCAACTACAAAACATTCTATTTTTGAATTGAACGTTTTTTTTTCTACTTCTAAAAATTCAATTGAACGTTCGAAATAATTCCGCATGATTTTTGTGGATTGTGTTCCAGAACACCGGCACTGGACCGCCATTTTTATTTAAGTCAACTTTGTTAATTGTTGATTCAACATCAGAAGGTGTAATGTGGAACGATTGATCGGTTTGTGATTGAGCGGTGTTACCGATGTTGATAGAACGGTTTGATGAACGGTCAGTGTATATGTTGACTTGAAATAAGAGGCGAAGGGATCGCATATCAGAAAGACCCTTTGAAGAATATTTTATTGTCTCGGGCGCTCTTCGAGCGTTCTCGACGATCTGCAACTCAAAGCGACGCATCGGCTCTAACGGAGGCACCTCATTGAGAACATGACATTTAATACGCACTATACCAAAATTCTCCATATTATAGTACCTTCCGGTGTATAAATGTTTGAAAAAAAAAAACCATTGGAGCTTGTTTCCATGCAACATTTTTATTGTGTGAGTTCATTTACATATCTTGACATCTGCATCTGTGCATTCCAAACATCAAGAAATAAGCAAATACTCTGAAAAAACTGATGTAGGGTTTGTGTTGACATTTATTTCTCAACAAGAATTCAAAAAGTTTGTGGTGATTCTCGGTACTAAATATATTTCTAACTTTTTTTCAATACAAAGTCGAAAAAGATTTGTGGTGCTCTAGCGGCAAAAATATATTTAGTACCGAGAATCACCACAAACTTTTTTAATGATTGTTGTGAAATAAATGTCAACACAAACAGTTTAACATAACCCTACATCAGTTTTTACAGAGTAGACAAAAAGCGAGAAATGACATGTGATGCTCGAATGGAAACACATTTTTTGAATACTTTATTGGCAAATTCCGTCGTAAGGAATTTCGTTTTGCTGTACGTGGCAAAGTAACGACAAGATTACAACATTTAATTTTTGACTATAAATGAGGCATCAAAATCGTAGAAATTTAGTTATTGTTCAAGTGATTCGGTTATAAACATGTCTAAGCAATTGATGGGTGAGTCTTTTCTAAGCTCTTTTTTCCTGTATTTTCTTTCTAATTTTTGTTTTTGACAATACTTGAGATTTCGGTCACTTATTGTGTTTTAATCATTGTTTTCTGTCCGTTTAGCCTGTTTGATTCTGGTTGCGGTTTTGGGAGACCAATTCATGGTAACTTATAATTTTGTTTGTATATTTTTATTGTATGGGGTCGATCGATGACATAAAGAATATTTGCTCACGGTGCCGGATCTGGGTGTTTTGCCGCCCCGTGCAAATTGTATTTTCGCCGCCCTAAATTTAAAAAATAAAACGAACATTTTCTCAAAGAAATTTTAACCCCTTATTATAACGCATTGGTCCCTAAAGTAACCAGATATGGCAAACGCTATAACTACGAAACCACTGAATATTTTTGCATACTTGTTTGGAAACCAATGTAGGGAATTGAACCATCTTTCATTAATTACATTACTTGTACTGCTGTGGAAAAATGCGAAAATATAGCAGAATTCCAAATTTTGCATCCTCGCATCTTGTGGGTTTGTAAATTCTTTTCGATTGTCAAATTATGATTCATAGGACCAAAACACATCAATTTAACTTATGAAATTTAATTCATTCAGGCTTTTATAGCGATTTGACAGTTCTGACTCTTTCCTCGTTTTTTTTTTCTATTTATCGTGGAACGTAACATATATCAAAATCATTCAAAAATAAAAAAATTGCGCATTAAAGGGTTAATAGTTCTTGCAAAAGCTGATAATTTTCTTTCTGACACGGCTTTGATATATCGCACAGAAAACCGAAATATTTGCTTAAGGCGTTGTGGCGACTATCAAGACGTTTTGGCTCTCTGTGCAAGTAGAATTAGATGGACATATACATGTAAACTTGCGAGCGGAGCGAGCCGAAATTTTTTCAGTAAATCAGCTGAAACATTTGGCGCAAATCATTTCCCTGTGTTTATTTTCCTCTTCACGTTTTCTTTTTTGCATTCATAATTTAATTTTTTTTTAAATCTGGGATTTTGCCGCCCCAAACATGTTGCCGCCCAGTGCAAATGCACGCCTTGCACGTGCCCAAATCCGGGACCGTTTGCTCATATTCCGTACAAATTGACTTTTCGGAAACATCATCACACATTTTATTTTTGCAAATAGTATTTTTGGGTTAAAATGTCAATTGAATTTTCATTTCAATTCGTTCAAATTTGTTATTCCAAACTAATTATCCTTTATTCGATCTTAATTTTCAACATGAAGCAAATTGAAGGTGACGATGGCTGTGGGTGTGTAGACCAATTAATGGGAGCATTAACACAAGGTAAGATTTATGCTCTATTTCTTTCTAAAGTTTCATTCTCACGATTCCACACACAAAGCATCGTTTGATGTATGAAGACATTTACCATTTAATCCAGGCCAAAATAACCAAACACTTAATTCGACTCATGACAAATTCGATGTATTTTGGAAGATATAACGTTTGATGTTACATCAATTGCCAGGATTCAATTAATTGGTTTCATTAAATTATGTAACATTCGTTCGATGTCCTTCACGAAAAACTTGAACTAAATATACACATAGCTCAGCACTCATGTGCTCATTTGCATAGCCCTTGCGTATGGATGTACGGATTTATATTTAAACAAATCTGCTCAATATAGGCATATTCCAAGATCGCTTTATTCGTATCGAAATACGTGGGAGAGTTCAACTTGAAGCTGTCATTAACACATTGAGAGTGAACATTATCGTTTACGCACACAGTGTCAGACACATATACATACACAAGCATCGAAAGTCCCTGTGTACTATGATAGTTTAATGCAATCCTTACCTAGAGGGCCGATGTCGTTTTTGACTCACCAAGAACGCGAGCTTGCATATTCTATAGGTTTTCCAAAAACCGTTTTCGACATACGATATCCATTTTTTTTTCTCTGTGGAATTGAAACGCCCTCTGAATAACTGGACACTCATTTCCCTATAATTTGAGAAAAGAGTGTGGAAGAGTTCATCTCACTTTCGATTTACTTTACTGATACATTTTTGCAATTTTTAGTAAACAAAAAAGACGAAAGAGGCCAAACAGCTCTTCATGACGCTGCTGAGAATGGTAACTTTGAATTGAGGTTACCAAATCAGAAATTGACTGAATCTATTTCATTGATCTGTTTCAGGTAATTTGGAGGACGTTAAAAAGCTCATCAAGAGAGGAGCTAAAATTCATTCGACAGACAAAGACAAGCGGACTCCTCTTCATTTAGCTGCTATGAATGGTAATGTTGCTTAGCTGCTAGCAATGGTTGTTGAATATTCATTTTCGATAAATAAGGAATTGAATTTATCTCGTTCATTGATTGGTGTTATTTTTCAGGTCACACGGATGTCATTGAAGAGCTCATCAAAGATGAAGCCGATGTTAATTTCGAAGACGTCATTAAACAGACACCTCTTCATTTAGCTGCTGAGAATGGTAATTTTGTTTATTTATGGTCACTAAATCGGAAATAGGTTTGTCGTGTTCATTGATCTGTGCTATTTTTCAGGTCACAGGGATGTCGCCGAAATGCTCATCAACAATGGAGCCTTCACTGATCCTACAGACACTTTTAAACGGACACCACTTCATTATGCTGCAATGATGGGTAATGTTACATATTCATTTACACTTATGAAAGTTCAGATTAACCGTAGCACTAACAATCTGTGCCATTTTGGCGTCTCCACTCGTATCAAGTTTTTATTATGGGTCTTAAGGTGCGTGCAACGCCATTCAATGTAAAATCAATACAAGTGGAGGATGGCACAAGGAATTAATCTGTATTTTGTTTGATCTTTTTCATTGGTCGGTGCTATTTTTCAGGTCACAAGAATGTCGTTGAAGGGCTCATGATGAATGGTGCTAATCTCAATAATACAGACATTCGTGGACGAACGCCCCTGGATCTCTCTATTCAAAATAGTAAAATTGGATATATGTTCTATAGACTGATCCAAAAACAAAAGTTGTCTCTTATCTGGAATGTCTGGCCAGTTTCGAAGAATATACCTCGAAAAAATAGGTTTGGTGCAAAGAACGCATATGGCTACCATATAAAATCAGGACGCCCCATATCAAATTTTTCATGACAGCGATTTCGGAAGCCATTTAGATCGCAACATTTCGACCGACTCCATTATTCCAGCCAACTTTTGGCAAAAACTGATGATGAGTTTTTGTTTGGCTTGTCAATAGTTACAACTTTCACTAAGACATCAGCGCTTGAAAAGGCATTCTCGGCTAGTTACAGTGCAAAATGACCCAAAAAATGGCAATTTTTCGGCATTTTCGACATTTGACCCCATACTAGTCACCCAGGCCGTGAAATTTTGTGCAGTTTTAGACTTAAACGTAATTTAAAATGCACGACAGTGTTGTTTGAATGCACAAAGAGAACTAAACTTTATTTATCATTCTTACTGAGCTACGGTACAGTTGAAGTCAGGTGTAATTGGATATCTCCGTTTTTCCAACAATGCCGTGTAGGCAGAACCTATACAAACATTTTGGTACTTGCCACATTGCGATTTAGATGAAATATGGTGCCAATTCATTCACACATAAAAGAGAAATTTCGGACAAAATCATCAAATCACGACTAGGGGCTTTGATTTGAAAGATAAAAGCAATCGATTTCTACCTATGCTGTCTTTGAACTTATAGAATGATCCCTCACAAACATTTTGCGTGCCTACATGACCAAGTCGAGACATGTTTTCACCTATTTCAAGCCTCATATTTGATTTCAATTTCAAAAAAATCGACTTTTGTTCAGAAAATTTCTCAAATATATACTTTTCAGTGTTGGTGTCTTGGTAAAAAGTTATTTTTTGACAAAAATATTGGGAGTCTTCTCAGACAAAAACTCCTAAAAGT